TTTAGGAAATGGGAGTATTCACAAAGACCATTTTTGGAAAGGTTTTATAAGCATCATCATGGAAAGCTGTTGTTCTCATCTTCTCTTTTCACATCAAATCTTCAAAATCGAAACTACGAGATCTACGCTGGGGCCAGTAAACTAAGGAATTCATTGCCATAAACACTCAAGAGCTCATGATCAACCCGTTTTTCCTGCCAATCCAATCCAAGCCCAGAAATTTCTGGGATGACAGTGCGCAGACGTAAGTTGGTCCCGCCCCGTCGATGGACGTAATCACGGCCTCCGCCGCAAAACGTCCGAGCGCTTGCGTGGCCTAAATTCTTCTATGCTGACGTTTCTTAGTCTTTCATAAGCATTAGAGTATAAGAGTAGGTAGCTTTGCTATTTTAGCAGAGCCTCCGGACCCTCGTCCGTGTCTATTTTTTGTCGTCTAGATTTTTGATTTACCCTTCTTTTACTTTTTCCTTTTTGTAATACTTTAAATGTATTATTTAAACTTTAAGATGCCGAGCGACTTGGGCACATGGTTCAGGACAATTCCCATAGTGACCAGGTACTGGTTCGCTCTTTCTGTGGTCATTCCCTTACTTGGAAGATTTGGCCTTATCAACCCATTATGGATGTACCTTGACTGGGATCTTTTCGTTTACCGGTTCCATGTAAGTACTCTCATCCTTGTTTTTGTTTTCGTTTCCTTTGCTGTTTTAACTTATTTTTGGACTCTAACTTTACAACTTCTTTTTAACTTGAACCGAATACAAGCTGAAGATGATGCAATTTCCCCGCTATTTGTTATGCTGACTAACCAGTTTAGCTGTGCTAATGAAACCGCAACGGGGATAATTACCACAAACTTGTTTCCGCTCATCTTTACTTCTGAAGATAAGCACATATGTCACCCGTACTGGAAAGCTTAACTTCGGATGCGTTTTAGAAGAAGTAATGATAGTGCCTTGAAATCTTTAAAAAAACAAATATTTTTCTTAGTCATGTGCCATGTATAAGTGAATATTTTTCTGGCAAGGCAAGAATTTGATTCAGCAGAGTCTTCTGTTGGACTGTTTCTAGCAATCAACGGGTAGTAGTGCACCCATGAGTTGAAAGGATTTTTCAAAATATGACTCGTTTTGCCAATGAATTTATTTGTGCGAACATTACTGTGTAAGTTTGAAGCTAAGCACAATACTGAATTAGCGAACTCTACTATCTGTCGGCTGCCGCAAGGATAGAATTTTTTCCACTTCTTGATCATAATTCTTTCACAGTAATTTGATTCACATCGCGAACTAAAAATTGATATTCTACTAACCAAGCAGTTGCATACTGACAGTATTTGTTTTGTGTTTGTTTTGAAACCACTTTTGCGTGACACTTTTGAACTTTTCTGCTTTTTCCTCAACTCTAAGCTCTGAAGTTTTACTTAGTTTTCTTTTCAACGATTTGTAAACTTTTCAGTTCTGGCGACCATTTACTGCACTAATATTCTATCCGGTCTCACCTCAAACCGGATTTCATTGGCTGTTGATGCTGTACTTCTTATATAACTATTCAAAAAATTTGGAGTCTGGAGTGTTCTCTGGACGACCGGCCGATTACCTCTACATGTTAATATTCAACTGGCTGATTTGCTCGGTTAGTTTTTCTCATCGTTGTTTTTGTTCTTCATATTGCTAGTCTTTTTTGTGCTTTCATTTATAATACAAATTTTCAAATGTATCTAGAATCTCATTAATTTGTGAGTGTAGGAGTTTCTAGGGAACTTATAGAAAAGCTTACATGTTTGAAAAACTGTTCTCGAAATTTTTCTGAATGCTACTTGAAAGAACATATATAATTATAGGTTTCGTTCATCAAATTTGCATGCTTTTCTTCCTATTGTTGTTGTTTCCTCTTTGTTTTCTACTTGA